TATAGCCTTGGTGTGGAATGCCGCTGTCTTTGGCTGTCAGGCACAGCAAAGGTTTAAAGGGTAGGGGTCTAATTTCAAGGGGTCGGACATTGCTCTTGAGTAGTCACCATTAACCCGCTTTACTTTTTTTTTTTTTCCTTCCGTCAGAGAACAGCTGTGGTGGGATATCATATCAGAGAACACATTTGAGACATGACGTAACACGAATTAAAACATGAAAGGGGCTAAATTGAATTCCCTTCTTAAGACCCTCTCTGTATGACACTGTAGTATGTAGTAGGCCTAGTTGTAGTTTGTAGTGGCCTATTTCCTTTTTCAGATGAAGTGAAGGGCAGCGAGCAGGGGGCAAGCATTCCTTAACCCACCATTACTCCCAAGCCAATGGGTTTTGATTAATTCATTTAAACGTTCTTCATTCCCAGCATCCTCCCCCTTCTCCAAGTATGATTTCCCATTTTATATGGGCGTAATCAAAGCCTTGTCGCATACTTCCTGGCTCTTGCCGTCTGTTAGATCTAATGTTTCTGCCCTCTAGTCTGATGCTTCTGTTTGGTCCATATCAACCACTTAGGTCAGGTTATGTCTGGATACTGCCATACAGAAGGTCTCTGTGTTCTGGTGGGCACTGGGCAGCCTTAGTTTAGCCACTGTCACTTCACATTATGGCCTCCTCACATGGCTGGAGACTAAGGGCTGGTTTGAGCCAGCAGCATACCACCCTGCATCCCACTGCTGGCTTATCTCTGAAGTTAAGCAGTGTTGGTCATGGTCGGTCCCTGGATGGGAGAATCAGATGCTGCTAGAAGTGGTGTTGGAGGGCCAATAGGAGGCACTCTTTCCTCTCGTCTAAAAAAAATATCCCAATACCCCAGGGCAGTGATTTGGGACATTGCCCTGTGTAGGGTGCTGTCTTTCAGATGGGATGTTAAACGGGTGTCCTGACACTCAGTGGTCACTAAAGATCCCATGGCACTTATCATAAGAGTAGGGGTGGCTAAATTCCCAATCTTTGCCTCATACCATCAAGGTATGAGGGAATTGTCTCATTCATCCCCCCTCCTCTCCCCTGTAACTATTCCCCAGGGTGTTGCTGTAAATGAAAATGTGTTCTCAGTCAACTTTCCTGGTAAAATAAATAAAAATCTATAAATACAAATTCCCGGAACATGGATTAAGCCTAGTCCTGGACTGAAAGTCTATGTCAATGGAGATTCTCAATTAAAATAGATTTTTTAGTCCAGGACTAGACTAATCTGTGTTTGGGAAACCAGCCCTATGTGTTGATGTTTATGTCTGAGGTCGTCCCTGACTACTCTACCTACTGTGGAGCTAGAATAAGAAGGAGAACTAGCCTAACGTTTTGTATGCCTGTCCTGTCTCATGCCCACACACTCAGGTTGTGGAACCCACAACATGCTCATCAACATACTCATCTTTCCCATAATCAAACAATTGGAGACAATGTAAGGTTATTGGTTTCAGCAGTCTTTCTTTTCAGTGATGGGGCAAGACTACGGGTATGTTCAATAGATCGAGACAGTAGAGATCTGTAGAGGTCAGACAGTTCCTTCCTTGACTATGTGCGCCATAATTCTGTTATGATAATGTAATTACCGGCAGGCTATATTGGTATTGGTAACATTCTGACATTGTTCAAATGGTCCGTTTATTTTTGTTTTTGTAAGATTTTATTTGATATTTTATAAACAATACAAAAACATACACATACAAATGACAACATCATACAAACATCAACTACATCACACCTGCCCAGACCCACTAGCACACACCCACATCTCCAGTGCCGGCATCACTTTCCGTCAAATGGCCTCAAACTGCACCATTTTTGTTTCTCTCCGTAGCCAACGCACTTCACATTTTTAGAAAATAAAGCATTTGACCTTTCCATTGCGTTAACGACGGACCATTTCCAGTTTTGAAGTATACGTTTTTTAAAAGATGATTGACGAGAAAAGTATCGTCCAACCCTCATATGCCATGTCTTGAAATATGCAGACAGACAGACAGACAGATTAAAATAAATGGTCTAATTTTGTTTTTTGTTTTGCCTATGTAAGGTATGTCCAACTGCCCAAGTTCATAACCGTTACCTAAAATTACACCATACCCATTATCTAAATAAATAACACTAGTCCCAACCAAAGGGGACTCAAAGTGGAATTTATTTAACTGAAATGTTATACTGATGATGAGGATGAGAAAGCAGCGTAGAATGAGGAAGAATAGAGCTTGTCTCTCCTCCCTCTCTCCAAACACCTTGCTACTCTATCCACCAATTCCACGGTTCAGCAGGGTGTGTGCCTTATCTCTCCGATTCCCTGAGGCCTGTTCTAAGTGGATTGGAGAGAGAATACCTCAGTGTGGTGTGGTTTTACATTAACCAGATGGAATGAGCGCTATGATAGGTCACTCAGAAAAGGGAACAGGTGAGAGTAGGCCGTGTGCATTACTGCATTTGATTTGTGCTTGAGTAATAATGGAACACTATTGACTCATCAATATCAACTCAATGAAGCTGACAAAGTGGCTCAAAGTGATCCCTGGCTTGAACGCTGCACTCAAATGCAGGCCTAAATGTGGATTGCTCTGTGAATGTGGTCGAATTCACATTAGCATGGGATATGAGGATAACTGTTAGAAAACAGCACTGCCCTATTATAAAACAGTAATTTACATTTCTCAGTAATAGAGTGAGTTGAATATGAAGCTCGTTGCAAAACAGTTAGCATTTCCCATTAACACCATTATCTACAATTGATCTGCTAATGGCAAACAAAACAGTTACACAAGGACATGCATAAAGATCAGAGCTGCATGAATCAGAGCATCCTGTTATGATCATTTTGCTATCATAACATCCCCCCTCTACACTTCCATATTTGTGTCACAGGCCTACATTTTCCCACCAACCAATCTTTTATCTAACCATTGTTTATATTTCTAGCCTTGTCCTTGAATGCATACTGCAATACTGGATTACTATAGCTGTAGTAGAGGTTGCCCTGAATCGTTCTATTTGCCATGGAACAGTTGTGGAGTCACGGTTGGAGAGCTCTGCTGCACACACACACACTCTGTGGTTAAATATAGCCTCCTTTGGCTCCTGCTCGCCTTCCCGGGTCTGCCCACTACTACGGCTGATGGGAGGTGACAGGCACGCTGGGAAGAGGGAGATGAGGGGGAAGGAGGAGGGGGCTGGGCGGCCATGACGCCATGTCATAGTACACTCACACTGGCTGCCCGTTAGCATCACCCTTGGGGCGCTTACACTGGGCCCTTAACGCGAAATGACTCTCTCCACCCAGTTGGCTACACCCCATACTGATGGTGAGAAAAACCAGTCTAGGAGGCAGTCCTGGCCATATTTCTTGATTTACCATTGAAGTCAGTAGGATGCACGTCAACTCCCAATGTGTTGAGATTAACAGGAGAGATCCTATACTGGTTACGCTGGTTCACAAAGTACAATTGTGGACCAATCTTATAGATTCATTGTTAAATCTATGGTGGCCTTAAAGGGTAAAGTAGTTGTTAGCATATAAATACCTACTAAATAGTTAGTGTTTGGGCCTTTTTGCTTTTTGTGTTTATACTGAATACTGCCACACACACTGGTTATTAGTGCTTTCCCTGCTTTTCCATCATCACATCACAGCAAGGCCGTCTCCCCCGTTGTCAGTAATAACATTGTTTCTTTCATCATGTCACAGATAAAGCGAGACTAATCACACTCATTATCACAGTGGGTCTACCAGTCGACAGCAACATTATCCAAATGAAAGCATCCCGCTGAGTCCAATAAGGCTATATCACAGTTGCAGCTGCACATTCACTTGATGTTCTTTGATAAGCATAGCCTAATTAGATTATAAACAGCAGTCCAAAAATGTTAACATAGGCTATATGCTAACTAATTACTCTGAGCCTGACTGAAATAGGGCTACCATTTCAGTCTGTCGAAATGGGATTTGTTTCAGTAGGCTAAATCTTGGCTAATCAGTTCTGGCGACTGTTTGGGTCTCCAACAGGTCGATCGCGAACTATCAGTAGCTTGCAGCCCACCTATAAGTAGCTCACCAAACAATTCTGAAAGTGCATGTATTTTTCACGTGTTCCACCGCAATCTGTCATAAATAAATCTCACAAGTATCAAACACCTCAAGCTCCCGCCTACTATCCAATCAAATCCAAATGTACATAATCCCACCCGTAGTTAGCCACAATTGTCTTAAATAGACAAACGTAACACAATATCTGCAATTAATTTCCAGCAATATTGCCCCTGTATGTCTGTGTGGTGCGCCCATTTGTCTCCACCATTCACTTCGTGCAGCCAGTTAGCAATCATGATAACTGTCTTCTGGGTAGACAGAAAGACTTTCCCCAACACCTTCTTAATTAAATATGAACTGAAAAGTAGGCTTACCTGGCAGAATTATGGCATGATTATTTGTATCAATCGGGTTGGCTTTTGTTTAGCAAACTCTGGCATGACATATGCAGCAGCAAAAACATTGCTAGACAAGCACTTTCTAGCAAAATGCACAAATAAAGTGGTATTACCCCCCCCCCCCCCCCCCCCCCCTCATAAATGGTCTTCTGGTGTGATTTAAGCATTGACATGGCCTCAGAACATCCAAATCCATTGTTTCTCTATGAATAATTGTAATTTTGTGAGTGTAAAACCAAGAAAAAGAATTCGGGAAAATACAAAGTGTGCCTATTTGAAAGCTAGAAACAAAAATGTATGAGTAGCTCGCGACATGTTTCATAATTTATTAGCTCTCATTTAAAAAGTAGCTTTCATGCTAGAAAAGGTTGGAGACCCTTGGTTTAGACAATACCAATGATTTTTACATTTTGACTAGTGTAGCCTTGGCTGTGTAAACAAAAACGGTTTACAAATCTACAAAGTATAAAGCTGACAAGGAATTTTACCACCATCTTGCCTCATTCCTTTCTTTTTATAACCTCCTTAGGGCAGTTCGGAGGGAAGCTCTGGGATCCACGTCGTCCTTGGCAATGAGGCCTGTGACCTCGACTCCATGGTGTCATCCCTTTCCTTTGCCTACTTTCTGTCCAAAGTGAGTCAGCTAGCTTCTAGCCTGTACCGCCTCTCATTAGTGAATTCCTCAGCCCAGGTCGGAAATAAGTATTCATTCCCCTCCTCATATGTTTAGATTTTTATACTGTAACAAATATTGACACTTTACTTGAGTGCTGCCGAAAGTGGGGTCCACGGGCCCTTGACAAACTTGGCCCTTCACAAAAATGTTGGCTCTCCAGAGGCTTCCAGAATGATCTTATGTAATTATGAACAATATATTTTGGAACATTCTATATCTTGAACATTTGATTGCTGACATGCAAAACATTTTGGGACTGTAACAACAATGGACTAATGAAACAAATACCAAAATATAGTTTTTGACTGGAATTTTCCTTTTAAGTCCCATACAAGAAAAATAACAACTCTATGGTGCAGTTGTTTGAAAGCAAATTGGTGGACGAATATGTCCTGCTATGCGGTAATGAATAGGTATCTTCTATTTGACTTGTGAACAGAGTTGAGAGAGCTGGGCCAAAGTCCTGAATCACCACATGCTCGGAATTAGCTCTGTGAGTGAGTCATTTGTAAGTCTGAGGGCCATGAATAGCTTGACCAAGCGTAACCAAAATGCCCAGCATTCTCCAAAATAGGACCAGACAACCCTCAGAGTCACTCAAGCGTAAAAACAGTGTCTGTGCCCTGGCCACCGGGCGCCGGTCTCTTCTTATCTTTCATTACTGCATTGATCCATCCGTCCTCCCTAACCCCTGGTTATAGCTGCTCGCTAGCCTAGACACCCCCGCTACTCATCAAATATTCACACAACCTCAGATACTCAAGATCCCCCAAAGGCCTGAGAAGATGGACAAAAACATTGCAGAGGAATCACAGCTAGCCTCAGCAGCAAGGTGCGTTGGTGTCAGATGTCTGTTTTGACCTGGTCTCCCTCTTCCATCCTTTCCTCCTTTTCTCCTCCTCTTCTTCCATCCCCCTTTGTTCCCAGACGTCTGGCAGCTCGGGTAAGACTGTGGTGCCGGTGCTGAACATCCCGAGGGCTGAATTCCCCCTGCGGTCCGACAACGTGTTCCTACTGAAGGAGAGCGGTGTTCCGCCGGAGGCTCTGGTATTCCGTGACGAGGTGGACCTGGCAGGGCTCCATAGAGCCAAGAGGCTGACGCTCACCCTGGTGGACCACAACATGCTTCCTAGGTCATCGGTTGCAACATTACTCTTTCTATTTATTTGCTTTACTCTCACTCTCGTTCTCTCCGTTGCCATCTCTTTGCCTTTCTCTCACTCAGACTTTCTTCCACTGATACTTACAGTATCAAGTAGTATTGGCAACACAGGTGAACTTTATGGGAAAGTGCCTGATCTGTGGAGGGCCAGTTTCCTGGACCAAGATTGAGGAAACACATAGTTAAGGATGTATGACACAACGTATTTCACAATATTCATTCAACTCTGACTTTTCCCTGTAGTGCTGACATCGACTTGGAAGAGGCAGTTGTGGAAGTTATTGACCACCACCACCTCGAGAGGACACCCTCCACTTCCTGTTCCGTCACCGTGGAAACCGTGGGTTCCTGTGCCACCTTGGTGACGGAGCACATTCACCACAAGGCACCTGAAGTGCTAGACAGACAGGTGGCCCAATTATTATACGGTATGTTTGCCACAGCAACAATTCTCTTACGTCCAGCATTCTGTATAACGTGTCATACTCCAGTCCTCGAGGGCCACAGTGTCTCCGGGTCTTTAAACAATGTATACCTCAGAACTAGGCAGCGGGGAATATGGCAGGATGAATTATCACTGAATTAGACAATTATCTTGTAGTTGCGCTTGTTTGTCAATGCCAGCAGTAACCATTGGTTCAGTTCACCTATACTTGGCAGTGTGCCCACACAGGGGCCATTGTGCTGGATTGTGTCAACATGGCCCCTGAGGCGGGCAAGGTCACACCCAAGGACAGCCAACTGGCCTGCCTGCTGGAGTCACGCTTCCCCGACCTGCCACCCAGGGGCGCCCTCTTCCAGTCCCTGCAAAGTGCCAAATTTGACATCTCAGGTAAAAAGGTGGGAAAAACATGCCATGGGAGAGGTGTTGACAGGTGCACAAAATGACACTGCCTTGTCACTTGACATTCAGTGACATAAGATGCCATGACAGTATGACATTATTATGTCAATATTATGACATTGTTATGACATACCGTTCAAACAAAGTGTTACCCATATTTAAAGAGAATGTTGTAGAGCAGGGCTGCCCAACCCTCTTCCTGGTGATCTACTGTCCTGTAGGTTTTCAGTCCAACCCTAATTTAGCATATCTGATTCAGCTAGTTAAGGTCTTGTTGAGCAGCTAATAAGTAGAATCAGGTGTGTTAAATTAAGGTTGGACTGAAAACCCACGGGACGGTAGATCACCAGGAAGAGGGTTGGGCAGCCCTGCTCTACAACATTCTCTTTAAATACGAGATTTCACATGACCTCAAAATAATGTTGTGGAGTGACCATCTAGAAGTAAACTAAATTATATGTCAAACCCTTTAGGTAGGAACCTCTGCTCTGTTGACCCAATGACTGGACAAAGCCATCAATCACGTGACACCATTCATTCCTATGTAAAACTCAATAGCGCATTGAAGCAAAATAAAGTCTGTTAAGATGGCGTCTCATGGAGACATAATATGAAGAGTTTGAGCTACTCCAGGGACTGACATTGCAGGCTAGCTCAGTGCTTCCCTCTCTCATTGAGTAACTCAAGTTGAAGGCCGACTGGGTACCATGATATTGTTACCATGATTGTCTTCTAAAAAAAGATAGCCATTTCTCCATTCACTATAATGGGGATCCTGTTTTCTGCTAACAATGCCTGCAGTAATGCGATCGGCCTTGAACCTTCAATCCGAGGGGACGGTCGTTTTACCTTGTGTTGACCACATTCCAGCTTTATCTTACTATGTGCCCTTGACTTTTTCAAAATGTTGTTGTGTTACAGCCTGAATTTAAAATGGATGAAATTTAGATTTTTTTGTCACTGGCCTACACACAATACCCCATAATGTCAAAGTGGAATGATGTTTTTCAAATGTTGTACTAATTAATTAAAAATGAAAAGCTTTGTTATGGCTGCCTAAATAAGTTCAGGAGTAAAAATGTGCTAAACAAGGCACATAATACATCGCCTTCAGAAAGTATTCACACCCATTGACTTGTTCCACATTTTGTTGTGTTAAAGCCTGAATTTAAAATGTATTAAATTGAGATTTGTTTGTCACACTCTGTGTGCAATAACAGTGTTTAACATAATTTTTGAATGACTCCCTCATCTCTGTACCCTACACATATACTTATCTGTAAGGTCCCTCAGTCGAGTAGTGAATTTCAAACACACATTCAACCACAAAGACCAGGGAGGTTTTCCAATGCCTCGCAAAGAAGTGCACCTATTGGTAGATGGGTAAAAAAAAAAAGCAGACATTGTATATCCCTTTGTGCATAGTGAAGTTATTAATTACACTTTGGATGGTGGGTGTATCAATACACCAAGTCACTATAAAGATACAGGTGCCCTTCCTAACTCAGTTGCTGGAGAGGAAGGAAACCACTCAGGGATTTCACCATGAGGCCAATGGTAACTTTAAAACAGTTACAGAGTTTATTGGCTTTAATAGGATAAATCTGAGGATGGATCAACAACATTGTAGTTACTCCACAATACTAACCTAATTGACAGAGTGAAAAGAAGGAAGCCTGTACAGAATAAAAAATATTCCAAAACATGCATCCTGTTTGCAACAAGGCACTAAAGTAAAACTGCAAAAAATGTGGCAAAGCAATTCAACTTTTTGTCCTGAATACAAAGTGTTATGTTTGGGGCAAATTCAATACAACACATTACTGAGTACCACTCTCCGTATTTTCAAGCGCAGTGGTGGCTGCATCATATTATGGATGCAAGGACTGACCATCCTTGATATCACAATTATAGTTTTAATCATGTTTTGAGGCTATACAGTGTTTACATTTACTTTGTTTACAAAACAAGCTTATATTTTGGGTTATGAAGAGGTACGACACTTGAACTAAGCTCATGAGGCATTTCTAAGTTATATTCTACAAGAATCAATGGGTAAATATCATTAAATTATAAGTCCAAAAATGGACGTAGCAACTACTTATTGCCCAGTAAAAAGCTTTTTCATCAAATTGTCCCCTTTTCTTTTTATGTCAGATGGTCCAGCATCATCCTCAGACAATTGCTATAATTCTTGGTCTAATTCTCATTTCTGGAAAAGGATTAAAATAAAGGTTAAAATCCAGGTCATGTGCCATGATTAACCAAAACACAGGGCCCTGTATATATGATCTACATTGTAACTTATGATATGCTGTAGTGTTTGTCATGCAGTAGCGTCTATACCCAATTACATTGTAATACCATTGTAATACTGCTTGGCCCATTGGTTTGTGTTACAGGTCTTTCTACAGAGCAGATCCTGCTGAAGGACATGAAGGCTGTCTCTGGGGGTGACCTGAGACTGGCAGTCAGCGCTGTGTACATGACACTAGATGTACGTACTGTCTAGTCATGCCGTTACTTCACTTAATGCACTCTGCCACCACCATGCTAATGCCACCATGCTTTAAACTGAGACTCAGTGATATTAAGTAATCAGACAGTGAGTGTGAGGCAAGGGGCTGCACTCGTCAGTACCAACACATACAGTTGAAGTCGAAAGTTTACATACACTTAGGTTGGAGTCATTAAAACTCGTTTTTCAACCACTCCACAAATGTCTTGATAAACAAACTATAGTTTTGGCAAGTCGGTTAGGACATCTACTTTGTGCATGACACAAGCTGTGGGGGTGCTTTGCTGCAGGAGGGACTGGTGCACTTCACAAAATTGATGGCATCATGAGGAAGGAAAATTATGTGGATAAATTGAAGCAACATCTCAAGACATCAGTCAGGAAGTTAAAGCTTGGTCGCAAATGGGTCTTCCAAATGGACCCCAGCATACTTCCAAAGTTGTGGCAAAATGGCTTAAGGACAAAAAAGTCAAGGTATTGGAATGGCCATCACAAAGCCCTGACCTCAATCCTATAGAAAATGTGTGGGCAGAACTGAAAAGGCGTGTGCGAGCAAGGAGGCCTACAAACCTGACTCAGTTACACCAGCTCTGTCAGGAGGAATGGGCCAAAATTCACCCAATTTATTGTGGGAAGTTTATGGAAGGCTACCCGAAACGTTTGACCCAAGTTAAACAATTTAAAGGCAATGCTACCAAATACTAATTGAGTGTATGTAAACTTCTGACCCACTGGGAATGTGATGAAAGAAATAAAAGCTGAAATAAATCATTCTCTACTATTATTCTGACATGTCACACTCTTAAAATAAAGTGGTGATCCTAACTGACCTAAGACAAGGAATTTTTACTAGGATTAAATGTCAGGAATTGTGAAAAACTGAGTTGAAATGTATTTGGCTAAGGTGTATGTAAACTTCCGACTTCAACTGTATACTGTTAAACATCTGCACAGGAGTTTGCATCTTTCCAATGCAGTGTGATAGCTGCGTGACAACAAATGCTGACAAGTGCAGCCTCCTGCTTCACGCAGTCTTTGTGTTGGAAGTTGCCCTGCTCCTCGTGGTAAACGAATATTGCTGTGTCTACCTTTAACATCACCCTCTCAGCATCATACTGGGTGTATGTGAACTTTTATTTATCCCCATTAACAACAATCCATTAGAATTGCCTAATTTGCCTTTGAGTGACCAACCAACTCTTTAACGAATTTGGGTTTGCAGATGATTCACCAAGATATTTCCTACTCCTTTGGGAGAATTGTATTCCACTATTTGAATCTTTACTCTTCAGTCATGCTACAATGTTACCAATGTATTTATCAGACTCGCTTTTAATCCTGGGATATGATCATTTGTCTCATTCATTTTAGTGATGGAGCCTCTGCCTCAGGGAGGTGCAAATACACTATATATACAAAAGTATGTGGACACCCCTTAAAATTTGCGGATTCGGCTATTTCAGCCACACCCGTTGCTGACAGGTGTTTAAAATCGAGCACACCGCCATGCAATCTCCATAGACAAACATTGGTAGTAGAATGGCCTTACTGAAGAGCTCAGAGACTTTCAACGTGGCACCGTCATAAGATACCACCTTTCCCACAAGTCAGTTCATCAACATTCTGCCCTGTTAGAGCTGCCCCGGTCAACGGTAAGTGCTGTTATTGTGAAGTGGAAACGTCAAGGAGCAACAACGGCTCAGCCGAGAAGTCGTAGTCCACACAAGCTCACAGAACGGGACCGCAGAGTGCTGAAGCGTCTGTCCTCGGTTGCAACACTCACTACCAAGTTCCAAACTGCCTCTGGAAGCAACGTCAGCACAAGAACTGTTCGTCGGTAGCTTCATTAAATGGGTTTCCATGGCCAAGCAGCCGCACACAAGCCTAAGATCACCATGCACAATGCCAAGCGTTCGACTCTGGAGCAGTGGAAACGCGTTCTCTGGAGTGATGAATCACGCTTCACCATCTGGCAGTCCGACGGACAAATCTGGGTTTGGCGGGTGCCAGGAGAACGCTACCTGCCCCAATGCATAGTGCCAACTGTAAAGTTTGGTGGAGGAGAAATAATGGTCTGGGGCTGTTTTTCATGGTTCGGGCACCTTAGTTCCAGTGAAGGGAAATCTTAACGTTACAGCAGACAATGACATTCTAGACGATTCTCTGCTTCCAACTTTGTGGCAACAGTTTGGGGAATGCACTTTCCTGTTTCAACATGATAATGCCCCCGTGCACAAAGCGAGGTCCATACAGAAATGGTTTGCGAGATCGGTGAGGAAGAACTTGACTGGCCTGCACAGAGCCCTGACCTCAACCCCATCGAACACCTTTGGGATGAATTGGAACGCCGACTGCGAGCCAGGCCTAATCGCCCAACATCAGTGCCCGACCTCACTAATGCTCTTGTAGCTGAATGGAAGCAAGTCCCCCCAGCAATGTTCCAACATCTAGTGGAAAGCCTTCCCAGGAGAGTGTAGGCTGTTATAGCAGCAAAGGGGGGACCAACTCCATATTAATGGCCATGATTTTAGAATGAGATGTTCGATGAGCAGGTGTCCACATACTTTTGGTCATGTAGTGTATATGCAGTGACAAGGCATTGTCGTGACGTGACTTACTTTAATGTATGACTGTTATTTATTGAATCACCTAACTATGTTTAATTGTCACTCGATTAAATTAATAATGTAACAATTAACTCATTAGGAATTTGGGGCACCACGGAAGAAGTTGTTTAACGAGTTACCATCTCCCAAATTAAACTCTTAGAAGATATATGTTATATATATCGATAACAGTCACTTATTAAATAATTACCTCTTATCAGTCTCATTCTGAACGTCGCATAATCCTTGAACCTGCAAGAACCCTAACCTTATTGATGAATCAGCAATACACAAATTGGCTTAATTATTTATTTACTAACTAACTAAATAATAACACAATACCAACACACACACAGGTTATTAATTACTAACGTAGTACAATGAAAACAGGTCCCTAGTGGACTTGACTAACATTAGCATGAATGCTTGGGTAGTGGAGGGGTCAGAATGGAAGGGAGAGAGAGATTCAAATTATCGTGGTTACTTTGAAGACTATGCTCACAGTAATCATAATACTTATGCACCCTAATAACGCTCATTCGGATTAGAAATGCAACATGTATTTACGTGTAGCTGTCCTCGATAGTTGAGTTGATGATGTAGGAGTCTGGTTTGCCCACCAGAGATCCCAATGTCCTTGGTAGAGTTTCTGGTCGTAGTGCTGGTTAGAATGAATACTTCAGATGTACCAGCGGTTGTCTGAGAGGGATTGTCCTCTATCTCGTGTCTTTAGTGAAAGTTCTCTAGACGACTATACATACCAGCTGCAGACTGAAATGATAAGGTATAGTGCATTGTCTTCTTCTTCACCTCGTGTAGAGGTTGAGTGTCACGACCGTCTACGGAAGGAGTGGACCAAAGCGCAGCGTTTGTAGCGAACATGACTTTATTAAAGTTAAAGTGCACGAACGAGAAAACAATAAACAATGACGGATAGTGAAGTCCTCAGTACACAGACTGAAACATGGAACAAAAACCCACAAACACAAGGTGAAGACACACAGTTTAAATATGGCTCCCAATCAGAGATAACGAGCCGACAGCTGACACTCGTTACCTCCGATTGGGAGTCACATGACGAGACAAGACACTACAACCAAAACCAAACACAACCAAATGAACACACCCTATACCCAACACAACCAAATGAATACACCCTGGCTCAAACTACACAGTCCCGGAGCCAGAGCGTGACATTGAGAGTTTCAGAGTTTCAAATAAAATAAAATAAAATTTTATTTGCCACATGCGCCGAATACAACAGGTGTAGACATTACTGTGAAATGCTTACTTACAGCCCTTAACCAACAATGCATTTATTTTTTTATTAAAAAGTAAAATAAAACAACAACAAAAAAGTGTTGAGAAAAAAAGAGCAGAAGTAAAATAAAATAACAGTAGGGAGGCTATATACAGGGGGGTACCGGTGTAGAGTCAATGTGTCGGGGCACCGGTTAGTTGAGGTAATATGTACATGTGCGTAGAGTTAAAGTGACTATGCATAAATAATTAACAGAGTAGCAGCAGTGTAAAAAGATGGGTGGGGGGGCAGTGCTTTGTGCTTTCGATCTGAGGACCCATGCCAAATCTTTTCAGTCTCCTGAGGGGGAATAGGCTTTGTTGTGCCCTCTTCACGACTGTCTTGGTGTGTTTGGACCATGATAGTTTGTTGGTGATGTGGACACCAAGGAACTTGAAGCTCTCAACCTGTTCCACTACAGCCCCGTCGATGAGAATGGGGGCGTGCTCAGTCCTCTTTTTTTCCCTGTAGTCCACAATCATCTCCTTTGTCTTGGTCACGTTGAGGGAGAGGTTGTTATCCTGGCACCACACGGCCAGGTCTCTGACCTCCTCCCTATAGGCTGTCTCATCATTGTCGGTGATCAGGCCTACCACTGTTGTGTCGTCGGCAAACTTAATGATGGTGTTGGAGTCGTGCTTGGCCATGCAGTCATGGGTGAACAGGGAGTACAGGAGGGGACTGAGCACGCACCCCTGAGGGGCCCCCGTGTTGAGGATCAGCGTGGCAGATGTGTTGTTACCTACCCTTACCACCTGGGGGCGGCCCGTCAGGAAGTCCAGGATCCAGTTGCAGAGGGAGGTGTTTAGTCCCAGGATCCTTAGCTTAGTGATGAGCTTAGAGGGCACTATGGTGTTGAACGCTGAGCTGTAGTCAATGAATAGCATTCTCACGTAGGTGTTCCTCTTGTCCAGGTGGGAAAGGGCAGTGTGGAGTGCAATAGAGATGGCATCATCTGTGGATCTGTTGGGGCAGTATGCACATTGGAGTAGGTCTAGGGTTTCTGGGATAATGGTGTTGATGTGAGCCATGACCAGCCTTTCAAAGCACTTCATGGCTACAGACGTCAGTGCTACGGGTCGGTAGTCATTTAGGCAGGTTATCTTAGGTTATCAAAATGTATAGCGCATAGAATTAAAAAGGTATTGTCGGATATTATTCATTCTAATCAGACAGGTTTTTTACATGGAAGATACATTGGAGATAATATAAGGCAAGTATTGGAAACAATAGAACACTATG